ATTCCAGATTTTCAAATATTGTCCGAGCCTAACAAACCATACATCAATGGAAGCTTATTTATTCAGCTTTCAGATGATGCATAAATCTCAAATTTCAAAAAATTGACCCTTATGACTGGTTTTGTGCTCCAGGGTCACAAATGGGTTGCTGCTTCCGTTTCATCACAGTTCTAATGTGTATAGTCTAATCTGATTAACGATGTAAGTAATGATGTGCAGTGATTTGTGTGTGAGCAGGGATCAGTGTATCTGGAGGATCAGAGTCGCGGGTTCAGCCTGTGGTGAAGATCGAGAGGATTTTCCCAGGAGGAGCTGCGTCTGCTAGCGATGCTCTGCGGGTAACAGACGAAGCCCTGTTGATCTGAGTGTGTGTGTGTGTGTGTGGTTCAGTGCGAGTCAGTGGATCTGCTCTGTGTGTCTCAGGCTGGTTTTGAGCTGGTGTCGGTGGACGGCGTCTCTCTGCAGGCCGTGACCCATCGGGAAGCCGTGGAGATCATTCGACAGGCCTTCGGTAACAAGAACATCAACCCCATGGAGCTCGTGGTCAAAGTTCCCAGAGAGCCCAGAGTCTCATGACACGTGCCTTACCGTATGTATTACACATTCACCCGATTTATCATTCTAGAGTGAAGAACGAACTCTGCGACTCGCCAATCTCATGAAAACACAGCGACTCTTCGGTCAGAAGCTGCAAACTCTTATTAAAGATTACACTTCACATTAGCTTGAGCTTAAACCAGGAATACGTGCTTAAAACACGCTTGATGAACAGCCACAAACTCAGCAACATTCTACAGATTGTTCTGGAATCATGTCAGGAAAATAAACTCACCTTAGCTAACAAATTTAGATTGTAATATTGTGGGAACGTTGTTTTGAAGTGTTTCTAAAACATTGAAATATCCAGTTTGGTTGTCGTGGTTAGAAAGTTATTTAAAGGTTACAAAAGTGTTTCTTGCAGCATTCTAATTTTTCACCCAAAATATAACATTATTTGAATGTTTATTTTGTAATATTCTAAAATGTACAGTTTTCCTGATGTTAATAGAACGTTATTTTAAAGGTTACAAAAGCGTTTCTTACAACATTTACCCAAAATATTATTTGAAAGATTCTAAAATGTCCAGTTTTCTTGTCATGATTATAACATTATAATCATAACGTTACCATAATGATTGTAACATATTTACAATAATGTTTCTTACACTGTTCTAACTTATCACCCAGAATGTTATTTTAATGTTTATTTTTAATGTTTTATGAACGTTAAAATGTCCAGTTTTCTTGCTGTGGTTAGAACGTTATTTAAAGATTACAAAAACATTTCTTGCAACATTCTACTAACTTTATTTTTAACCAAATATGATATTTAAACATATATTTTTAACTTTCTAAGAACATTAAAATGTCTAGTTTATGACATTATTTAAAGGTTATACAAATGTTTCTTACAACCTAAATTTTTACCCAAAATGTATCATCATTTGAAAGTTTATTCTCAATATTCTAAGAGTGTTAAATGTTTCTCAAAACATTCTGCTAATTTTGTTTTTGACCACAAAATAACATTTGAATGTTTATTTTTAATATTCTAAGAGTGTTACAAAAACGTTTCTTAGAACGTACAAAGAACAAGAACATTTTGAGAATAATCTCAACGTTATGAGAATATCAAACATATTATTAAAGTTCTAAAAACATTCCATAAACATTACTTTAAGAACGGTTTGTCCCAACAATTATCTAACTTTAAAAAAACACATTAGTGAAAGTTGTGTTTGTTAATTAGAAATAAATCCTGGTTTAATTGCTCTGGTGACAGAGTTATTACAAAGATCAGTAGTCAGAAATATTTGCTGCGGCCGATTAAGAACATAAATACTGAATAAAATACCAGTGAATGTGAGTTATTGCAGGTGTTTAATTACAAACAGCTCATAGGAACATTAAATATGCAGCACGAAAAATATACAATGCATTGGCTTCATACAAATACTGTTAATTAAAAAATTACAACACCACCACAATCACCCACGAGATACAAGCAACGCTTTGGTCTATTCACAGTGGCTTTTATATGTACGCGTCTATATATATTATTCAGTATTATGTGACCGTATGTGTGCAGTAATGGGTTTATTTTGGTACAAATATAACAGTCAGTAGCTTTTTTTGAAAAGAGTTTCTATTCCTCACATTAGTGTTTAATAGCACGCGTTCAGCTCCTGTCAGAATTACTGCTGCTCATGTCCTCCGACTCTGAAATGATTTGAGTTATAGATTATTATTGAACACCAATACGGATGCAGTTTTGTTGCTGTTGATAAGAGCAAAATACTTCATAAATGCACTATTGAAGAACAGAATCATTTTATTTTTTACATGAGAGCAGCTTGAGTTTCTAACTTTGTAATTATGAGTTCAGCAAAGACATGAGCAGCGTTTACTAATCAGACGCTCAATTACAGTAATTCTGACACGATGTGATCGCAGGATAACTGTGCTTCTGGACTCCTTTTTTTTTATGTGAGACTCGATGCTGATGTGCAGAGAATTTTGGGATATCGCATAAAAAAAAAACTGGTGGATGGAAAAGCCAAGATGCACAAAATATTAAAATGTGCATTAAAAAAACCTATGTGCTCAAATTGAGATGGATAAATTTTTTTTTTTGTGCTTAAATTATGATGGAAACACATTTACAGAATCAATTCCTGAATGTGCATCAAACATGAATTTGTCTCAGCGTGTTAATTGGATGTTAATTGGTTGATAACTGGACTAACCAGTGGACCGATCTCATCACACACCATCCCAAATACTGTTTGAGTTGTTCTGAAATATCTGAGCCTACAACAGTGTTTTATTGCCACATTAAAAAAAATAAAACAAAGTGAATTTCTCCCATAGAAGCTACCGGAGCAGTGTTGTTTCTCTAAAAAAAATTACTCTCGAAATTTAAACTTCATTTTCAAAATATTGTGACTTTAATCTCGTATTTCTATGATTTAGATCTGGTCATTTTGACTATTTTCAAAATATATAAACTTTAGTATCAATACTTTAATCTCATACTTCTGTGACTTTATTCTTGTATTGCTAGGACTTAGTTCTGGTCATTTTGACTTTATTCTCAATTCTATGACTTAAATCTTACAGTGCTGTGACTATTTATATTTCCACAATGTTACTTTTTAAAAAAATCTTTTTACATGGCACCAAAACACCGTCATATGAGCCAAAGTCTCAAAATGATTTGGTATAAGCTCCTCCCAGCTCTTTCTCTCGCTCTTGAACTCAGACGTCTGATCGGAGGAGTGCTGGCGTTCGTAAGCGAGCTCCGCCTTCAGACGATCGATCTGCTGCTTTGAGGCTTTCAGTTCCTCGCTGTCGTCGGCGCTCGAGGCGCTAAGGTCTTCCAGACGGCTTATTTTGTCCCGGAGCAGCTCGTTCTCACTCTTGCGGCGCTGCAGTTCGTTCTCGCAGACCTCGAGCTCCAGCGTCCGTGTGTGTGAGGCCGTGTGCACCTCCTGCAGCTGACTCTGACACGTCTGCAGCTCGGCTCGAACCTCTCGCAGCTGTCCTCGTAACGTCACCAGCTCACCGACGCGCTGCGCCAGATCGGCCTGCAGGTCCTTCAGCTGCTGCTTCAGCAGTGAGATCTCTCCAGACTTCTGACACACCTGAGAGAGATGCAACAAGTTTAGAACCTAGTGCTATACGATAAATCGCATTGAAATCACAATCACATCTTGTCAGTGAAGCACGGTTCTGTGATCAGTAGTAAATCTCCAGAAGAAATCCCTATAGCGTTAGCTGAATAAACAAGATTTAACTGCTTTCAGTGATTCAGCGCGACTAATAAACACAGGACTACGACAATATATGATTTACAAATGAAGTTCTTAGCAATGCATATTACTAATCAAAAATTAAGTTTTGATATATTTACGGTAGGAAACTTACAAAATATCTTCATGGAACATGATTTTTACTTTAATATCCTAATGATTTTTGGCATAAAAGAAACATTGATAATTTTGACCCAAACAATGTATTGTTGGTTATTGCTACAAATATACCCCAGCGACTTAACACTGCTTTTGTGCTGCAGGCTCACATATAATAATGTAATGCCAATCGACATAATCACTGCTTAGAATAGAAATATGTTGCGTGCCTTATTCTGTGTGAGAAGCCACATCATCTCACAGAAGGATTTATTTCAACACTTGACTGACGTTATGAAGTGAGTTTGGAGTAAAAATATGTTATTAAATGTGGTATTTTCACGTGCTTTCAGATGGAGCAGCATTTACTACACAGAGCCGTAGTTCACTGAGAAGCTACGCAAACAGCTGTCATTATCGCAGAACGATTTCTTTGATTTCATAATCGTGTGATTTTATATATGAAGTGTGAACTGTTTTAGTAGAGTCCCGGGTCATGCTTACTCAAAGTTTATTTATCTGTTTGTTTGCTTATATATTTATTTTTCTGAAATGATCTTTTGTGCTATCATCTATGCAAAGTTGATGCAATAAAGTAAACATCATAGTTAACAATTACTTGTTTACATAGGATATATAGATATATGTATATATATATATATGTGTGTGTGTATGTGTGTGTGTGTAATGTAGCCTATTTTATATTATTTAGGCACATATAGGCTATAGTTTGACAATGTTCTAATTCAACATGCCATGGGAAGTCAATCTAACTTAACATTTTCTTATATTGATATTATTTCTTATTCCTCAGGCAGTTCATCAGGCTCTTAATGATTTAATCTGCCATCTTTTGGAATATCTGAAGGCCATGAACCATAGTTCTTAACTGTAGCATTTGTTATAATAAGACAAGCCTATTAATCATTACCAGGCCAATAATGACGGTAAAAATAGGAAAGATAATGCTTTTCTCTAAAGAAACAGGATTCCCTGAATTATCATCATTGATATCGTTATCGCAATAAATACCAGAAATATTGATATTTTAATATTATCCCTAATATCCTGTGACGTCCACTTCTCGGAGCGCTTGCGGTCGAACGGTACGCACCCCTAGTGTGTCACCGCTCTTCTGACTCCTCACCTCCCACTTGGTCTCCTCCAGTCTGGGCCCCAGCTGCGTGTGCTCTCGTTCGTAGGAGGCGCAGCGCTCCTCGAGCCTCTGGCGCTCCTGCAGGAGCTGCGTCATGTCCTCCTGCTGCTTCTTCTTCTCCTGCTGCAGCTGAAACACCTGGAGCTGCAGGAGCTGCTGCTCGCGCTGCGCTTTATGAGACGCCTTCTGCATCTTAGCCGCACACGTCTGTCTGAACTCCTCCATCTCCAGCTCCGTGCGCTTCTGACGCTCCTCGTACACCTGCACAAACACACACAAACTTCAGCATCAGCTAGAAATTAGTGTGCAATTTTTAGTTTGTATGTTAAAGGGTTAGTTCACCCAAAAATGAAAATTCTGTCATTAATTACTGTCAGCTCTCTGAGCCTGCATAGACAGCAACACAACTGAAATGTTCCCAGGTCCAGAAACGTAGTAAGGACATCAGTAAAATAATCCATGTGACATCACGGGTTCAACCATAATTTTACGAATCTACAAGAATGCTTTTTATGTGCAAACAAAACAAAAATGACTTAATTCAACAATTCTTCTCCTCCTCCCATCGACGTCCTTGCTACGTTTCTGGACCTGGGAACATTTCAGTTGTGTTGCGATCTATGGAGGGTCAGAGAGATCTTAATTTGTGTTCTGAAGACGAACGAAGGTCTTACGGGTTTGGAACGACATGAGGGTGAGTAATTAATGACAGAATTTTCATTTTTGGGTGAACTAACCCTTCAAGTCGAGATGAAGCATGCCTCTCACACACCTGACAGATGGCTGCTTCGTTCTCGTCCAGGTTTTCCCCGAGCTGCTGAAGCTCCAGGTCTCGCTCCCTCAGTTTGTCCTCCAGGTCTCTGACGATGGCCTCGTAGGCCTCGAAGGGCGGCGGGGACAGCGGGTCGGTCAGCAGGGGGCCGCGGCCGCTCAGGGAGCCCGTGCTCTTGCTGGACGAGGAGCGGCCGCTGTCGGAGTTGGAGTGTCCGTGATGTTTGCTCGCCTCGCTCTGGCTCGGCCCGTTATACGCCGGCAGGTTGGTTAAGGAGTTGCGCGCTGTGTCCGTCATCGTAAACGACTGGCTGAACAAAGCGTTGCGAGCGCCGCTGTAAGAGCTGCGCCGTTCCGTCGTCACGGGCGAGACGTCTTCGTCTTCTGGAGAACACATGCTGAGGTTTCCTTGGCTTCCCGACAGACCGGCGCCGAGCCGCGGGGACAGATACTGCATGCAGTTACGGCTCCTAGGGACCACGGGTTTGAAGGCAGTGGGTCTAATTATGGCCTGCTGAACGTTCTGAGAGAAACGAACATCAGAAATCATGATGCATTACCAGCAGACAGTGATAAAGTCCTTAACCATCTTCATGAATCGGCTAAAAACACATCTCCATCTTTATTTGAGATTTCTGAAGGATCATGTGACACTGAAGACTGGAGTAATGATGCTGAAAATTCAGCTTTGCATCACAGGAATGAATTAGATTTTAATGTATATTAAAATAGAAAAACGTTATTTTACATCATAATAATATTTCACAATATTAAATTTTTTCCTGTATTTATCATCAAATAAATGCAGCCTTGATGAGCATAAGAAACTCCTGTTTAAAACATTAAAAATTAAAAAGCGTTCTGATCCCAAACTTTTGACCAGTAGTGTGTGTGTGTATATGTATATGTATATATATATATATATATAGATAGATAGATGTTCTACATGTAAAATTGAAATCCAATTTAATCTATTAAATAACAGACACATGAATATTATGTTTTATGCCATTTAAAATTAGTTTAGAACTATACATCTATTCATATTATTTGCATTCTATTTCTTTATTTTATTTTTTTGTAACAAACACACACTACACCCTAGCCTAACCTGTTTTTTTTAACCAAAAATTTTGCCAAATAATTAAATATATAACATAAAAAAGTATTATTAGTAGCCAAAGTGTGCCATAGAATTAGTTAGCATTAAAGTGATAGTTCACCCCAAAATTAAAAATCTGTTATATCGTTCCATACCTCTAAGGAGATATTTAGCAAGAAAATAAGAGCAGCTTTTTTCCCTCCTAAGTATCTCTTTTGTGTTCCAAGCAAGAAAGTAAGATATACAGGTTTGGAAAAACATGAGAGTGAGTAAATTTTTGGGTGAACTATCACTTTAAGAATTATAATTCACGTTAGTCTGGCGGGCACAAACAAACACATGCTCAAGCACAAACAGAGAAGAACATCCTCATGGTTCATGTGTGTTTTTCACATGCTCTTACTTTGCTCAGGGTGGCGTGCTAATGGGGCCGAAGGGGGCCGAGTGAGTGCAGGTTTGCTCAGGTCCAGAGAGCTCTGACAGCGTCTGCTAAAGCTTGGACCTGCCCTAATGTCCATGCAACTTCCATGCAAACTGAGCAAACCAGGACCTCGAAGGCCAATGCTGGATGTGGAATCTGGTCTCATGGTAATTTCAGCCACAGGAGCGTGGATGCTAAAGCTGCTAGCAGACATTTCTCTATTCTCCTTTATGTCAAACAAGTTACCGATGCTTCTAGGCCGGGCCCTGGAGGGTCTCTGGTTGGTTCGGCGAAGATCGGAAGGGAGTTGGGTGCTTGTGTTGTTGCTGGAAGTTTGAATACAAGAGTTTATGGACACTAAGGAACCTTGTAGCTCAAATTTGAGGTTTGGGTCTACTGGAGAATCTGTTTGAGAGGATGATTTATCACTGCTGCAGGACTGTAGGCTTTCAGATAATCTGAGAAGTCTGTTCTTTGAACGGTTATCAACAATTCCCTCCAAAGAGCAACTTCTTGACCGAAGCCTGCCATATGGGACTTCTGTTTTGTGAGCCAGAGGAATTTCTAGATAGCTACCGCCCAGCCGGTCTCCATCACTGGCCCTTCTACCTCTAAAAACAGGCTGCTGTGCTCTATGGGTTTCTAACTTAGTCTCTGCTTTTGAACTGAAAACTTCCCTCATGGGCGAATCGGCTTCATCGAAGGCCTCTTTTCTTATTAAGCTCAGCAGGAGGCATTCGGTCGATTTGAACAGGTTGGCAGCGTTCACATTTGGGGTTTTGGCTGGGTGTGGGCAGTTGGGTTCCTCCTGGTTTTTACGCTTTCCACGTTGAGTTTTAGGAGCCGTGATGTAGCCACACATAACTAGCAAAGGACCAGACAACAGAACATAAACAACAAACAGGCAGGCAAAGACATTCAAGTTAGCAGACAAGAGTTAGTTTTAAACATCATCTGACTCCACAAAAGCACTGCAGTCAGTAGAAACGGCGTCTTGTGACTCCACAGTTTGTTCCAACAATATTTTGTATATGAAGACCCACAGATGATTTAGGTAATCCTTTAGGAGGCATTTCCCAGAAAGAATGAAGTGTGTGAGTGTTAAAACAAACCAGGCCTGAAACTCAAATGACACATCAACCCATTTATCTACATTTCAGAGTTTTTAAAGAGTGCTTATGTAAATAAATCATGTATCAAACCATACTTATGTAAACTGTAAAATGGGTACACTACCATTCAAAAATTTGGGGTCATTAAGTTTTTTTTTTTTGCTCAAAAAACTTTATTATTATCAATGTTAAAATTATTATTATCATATATTATTATAATATTTTATTCAGATTAGATGAATAAAAAAGTAGAAAGTCTTAATAGTCACTTTTGATCAATTTAATTCAATACATCCTGGCTGTATATAAGTATTAATTTCAAAACAACAACAAAAAACAATATACTGACTCCAAATTTTTTGAACTGTAGTGTAGTGTATATGTATTTTAATATTACAATTATAATATTTTCAAATTTAATGAGACTTGAGGACAAAATATGTGTCTTTAGTGGGGAAAATAATCAAACACATGCTTCATACATACCCAGGATGTTGACAAAGAGTTCATAATACTGATAAGTAAGCAGTGGCTGAGAAAGACCGTAGAAATAGTCTGAGACTGTTTTAAACACATCCCGCTCAAAGCCTGGGTAAGATGGCTGGTTTGAGTCATACTTTGGCCCTTGATGAATTAGAAAAAAGTATTATTATAAAATCAATTAGTTACCTATTTGCATAGTTTCATATTTACACAAAAGACAACATGAATGTGATCTGGCTAGTAAAATTTCAGCTGTATTATTTCATTCCACATGTAACGCAACTTACAGTTTGCAAGACATTTCATGGCAGACAAAACCCAGTGCGGCAAATCATCTACGGAGGGGGACAAATCAAGAGAAAATAATCAGAATATGAATATATGATGTTTGTCTTTTTTTTTTAGACCGAAATGGCACATATCTAGCCTACCTGTCTTATCTTCCAAAGAAACGACTCCATGTTTATTGACTTTGGTCATATTATACACAATGAACTGCGGATTGACTTGGGCTGGATCCAAAACATCTTCAAGAGCCCCTGATCCCACCAACTTCTGCAAACTGAGCATTCAAAAGATGATTAATGTTTTTAATTAATGTTATACACCCTCTAATAAGAACAGTTAGACATGTAAAACACTGCAAAGATGACAATATAGCATAGTCATTTTGGACTCATGTAAATCATACATACATCACAAAAGTATTATTTAAAATACCATGGCATGTCATGTAAATGACAAACATATAGAACCAAGTAGGGCTGTGCAATATATCGAAATATCGCAAATGTACATATCGCAATATGCATATCGCTACAGCTTGCAATATTTGGGGCCATGAACAAAAGACAGAGAAAATCACTCACTGCTCTTACCTAAATAACTTTTGTAGCTTAAATAAGAATCAGTGCATATTGAATTCAAAGAGTAAATACTAAGCAGTGTTTTATTTTTCCTTTTTATTATTCAGTTCCTAAACTCATGTTAAAATGACATTTTTATGTAATGCTCGAGTAAAACACTACCGTTCACTTTAGATTATCTCACTTAATTGTAAGTGACTGCAAACAGGAAGTACTTTTGGTGCAAAGCTGTGTACTACAATGCATGCAAACTATATATGAGACAGATGGTGTGGGGGGAGGTCGGCTTACTGCGTAAGTGTGACATTCTTCCAGATGACTTGAATGTCGTCCTCTGTGAGCTCCCTGCAGTGCTCCGTCTCACCTGAGGATGATCCTATAGCAGATTCTTGTGTTTCTGGATCCACATTTTCCTGTGTGAAATAGCAAGTGGATATTATACATCTGCAATGAAATTTCACATTAACAACACATTTGAAACAACAAAAATTACCAATATTTCTTTGTCAAATTTCTTCGAGCTCCTGAATTTGAAGAAACTCTCCCTGTCCATCATAGATATGCTTTTTTTCCTCAAAACAGGGGCACGGTTAGGAATGGGCTTCAGCGGAGATGTTGATGGAAACCTGAAGCATATTTTAAACCAGAAAACCTTGTTTCTCAATTTCTTTTTAAACCAAATTTCTCAAAAACATCCACTTTATCATACCTGTACAGCTGACTGTTGTCCTCCAGGTCTTCCATGCCCCATCTACCCTTCACATCTTCAATAACATGGTTCTTCAAGAACTTTTTCAGCAGCTGGATTGTCTGATGTCTGGTGACCTCGGGTCCAAAATTGCTGTTGTTCTTCAGGAGTTCATGTAACCAGTCCACAGCTGCTGATGCAGTGAAGCAGTTCATGTAAACTCTGAAGTGCTGCCGGTGCTTCTTCAAAGGCATCCCAGCCCGGAAAAGCTTGGTTACTTCATTCCACTGGAAAATAAAGGGTTAATATCACATGAGGAGCTTGCAATCACTTAATTCAAAATTCAATGACTGGTAGAAAAATTTACAGAGTAATCAGAGTAATATTGTTGTCACTCTTTTTTGTTGTTGTTCAAAATGTATTCACAATTAACATAGTACAAGTAGTACAAGTAGTAAAAATAAATGATGAAGGAATGATAAACAGTTTTAATGTGAACTTCATATAGAAAAAGTCTTTTAGCTGATTCAAGGAACACTCAATAAAAAATAAAACACTTCTTTAGATCACAAATAACAACTCAAAGTGCTTTACATACAAATATATGTGCATGATAAAACTGACATGCAGGTCATTGACCTTGTAAACTAGTGTGATACATCAGCAGACCATATTTGATCAAATAAGGCAGGAGAGACTCACCAGTTTAGTGGCCCTGTATGGACCTGGGGTGACGATGTGAGAACTCATTGAAAAGATCGCGATGTGTTCCTACATATACGTAAGTTTATTTTTGATTTGTTGAATGCATCCGTAGGCTATATTCAGTAAGATTACCGAATATATGAATAGGTAAACTCGCACATTGAATTTTCGCTGGCTGTGTAAATAGACAACCCGAGGATGTTTCGATTCACAACACCCGTTTAAAATTACGACGCGAACTTCTCGGAAGATTGTGAT